CTCTTATAGGAATATAATTCTATTTATACTCTGATTGAAATGGTTATCCAACTGTTTACAAAAGTCGTAAAACAATTGACTTTATTTCATTCTTACCTGCTCCGTGACGCTCAACCGATAGTCGTCGGGGTTTTGTGATGCCTGAAGTTTAAAGATGACACTGAAATTGTGAAACAGTCGATAAATCGGCGTTTTCGCCTCCTTTGCATGCCAACTCAACTGGCCCCGTGGCAATCGGTGGAACACGGCACCTCGTCCCTTTTTCACCTTTTGTCTCGGCTGTTCTGGTCGTCGCAGTTGAGGCCGAAACGGGTCGCCCGTTTGCCAGGCTTCCGTCGACAGATCGGCAATCTGGGCGTTCAACGCGACCATTGTGTCACGATAGGTCCATGGCAGAATGCTGTCTGTGCTGGGCAGTGGCCAGCCGTGTCGGACGCCGGCCGCCTGAAGAAGAGCCTGCGTGTACCGTTGAGCAAAGCAGAGCGTCAGACCGGGCATCTGGTCGAACTCGGTGTTCTGACCGGAGTAGTCGAGTTGAAACACCGTTTGATGCCGCGTATACTGCAGCACGACCAGAGAGATGCACACTACCAAACCCGTCACCATGACAGCAGTTGACACGCTCCAGAGAAGTCGCAGAGAGCGCGATGGTGCTGTTGCAATTTTGGCCAAAGGAATCACCGAACTTTGCTTAAATATGGCCATCATTGCCGATGGAAGTGGTGTTTTTGTCTTCTTTTCAGCTGTACAACCAGTTTTCCACGTACACCCCCCCTAGCACACTCGCATGTGTTGCGCTACATACGGACTGCACAGAATGGATGAAAAACAAGAGACTCAGCCAATTTATGCATTGGGCAGGCTGGTATATCGTCCTCACGGGACACAAGAGTAGGGAGCAGGGCATGAATTAACAGACATTGACATAAGAGAAGGTCAAATTGAGGAATACTCCGCTCGAAATGGTAGCACAGTCAACTAGCCCTATAAATCTGTTAATATGTATAACTTTGGTAAAGAGTGCAATGTGTGAATAGGGGAAAAGAATAAATAGCCTTAAACTCTTCTGGAAAGCAACAAAATGTATCCCTCCCTGATTGGTTGACGTTCGTGCCAATCAAAACTAAGGCGGACTGGCTCGAGGGCATTTGAGATTCTTCGAAACCCACTTTTTCTACACACCTACATTCCCAGAGGGTGTTGCTGATATGACAAAATGTATGCTGGATCGAATATTAAGAGACAAATAGAGCTAAAGTCTTGTAAGCTTGCAAAGTCAAGTTTGTACAGTAGTTGATGAAATCAAGGAGAAATACTCTATTTCGTGCGCCGTTGTAGAGTGAATTTACTCAAAATATTGTAAAATGAAGGCAATTTTTCTCGCTCTAAAGTTAGACAGCTACAAACTGAATACAGTTAGGAGGATGATATGACCTGTATTGGATAAAAAATGCAATGAATCGTGAAAAATTGCTCCACCCGTCCAGCTCAGTGTATTAGTAGTATCGATATTGGGCTTGCAAACGCAATTTCTTTATGCAGAAAAACTGGGTTGGGAAGAATCCCTTCATAGATTGATGTTCGAGTACTTCTCTCCTTTTGTATATTAGTAGACTTTCGAGACTACCAGTAAATCAGTAATATGAGATGTATTCACCCAATTTTGTTTAAGTTGATGAAGGGCTGGTCTTATCAACAGCTGTTGATAATGTGTAATTCAATGGAAACGTCAGCTGTACTCATATCATTACGGGAAGATTCTACTACCAGTCCTGCATCACCTTAAACGAAACAGGGTGAATACATCCCATACTTTTTATTTTGTTTGAAGAGGCGTGTGAAAGGGATTTGTAAATTGGTTCCACCGGAGGTTTTGGGGGTTTGCCTTGAAGCTGTGGTTGTAGAAGCGGGTTGATCTCGTTGTCGCAACTTGGTCTTGTTGTCAGAGCGATTTAGTAGAACGCACCTAGTCCCAAGTCGTCTCTATAGTAGGATTCATGATTCCCAGCATCAGACAGGAGAGTTGGAACCTTCTCAAACGTTTCGCCGGCATCGTAGTCGGCATCATCAGTCAGTTTTGCCATTCTCCGCACCAAGCTACATCGTCAAAGAGACAAGTTCGTTTACGAGTTCATAGCTTGGGACGAAGAATAGCAAAGCTCCTGATGATGCCGACTACGATGCCGGTGAAACGTTTGAGAATGTATCAGGTGCACTATCAGATGCTGTGAATCATGACAACTACTATGGCAGACGACTTCGGACTAGGTGCGTTATACATAATCTCCCTGACAACAAGAATACGTTGCGACAACGAGGTCGACCCACTTCGATAGATCTAAAGGAGACTGCGACCATACCAGAGGCCACAACATCTTGGTCTTTGTAAATTCAATTAAACTGTGGTTGTAGATTCGTGCAAATAGGTCCCCGGCGCACCACCCTGCGACCTTCATGAATCCTTGCTGAGCTTACGTTCCTTAACACGAAGGCCTTTGCATTTATGATGAATTGTCGTTAAGCGTGGTTTCTTGCTCTGACAATGTCCGTCACATGACTGACGAAATCTCAGCAAGGATACATCGAGTTGGCTGGTTGGTGTTCCGAGGACCTATTTTGCATAAATCTACAAACATATTTCACAAGCAACCCCCCCCCTAAAGCTTCTGGTGGAACCAACTGACGATTCCCTTCCACTCGCCTCTTTGAACGAAATGAAAGGTACTCCAACAGTAATTTTTTAATTATGCAACATGTCAGGTATATTTGGAGTGACTTTGTTATCGCAAATTACTCCTGTTTCCTCGGAGACTTATTTTGATGCACCTTGTGTGCTATGGCAGTAATCAGAATTCCTAGTGTCGGACCGTGGGCTATGTTCATTCCCAGACTTTTCACCCACATCATAGTCGGCATCATCAGGGAGTCTGCCATTCTCAGCACGATGCTATAACTTGTCAAAAGGACAAGTTACGTCAATCCCTTGGACTAGCTATGAAGAAAAACTGGGTTTTTAAAGAGCCCTTAGTGGTATATTGTGGTATGACTTTCTATTAAAAAGGAAGTTGGTTGGAACGAATATGTGATGTGCTCTCACCTTAAACCGAAAAAGGATTTCCGCAGAAATCCAACCAACCTTTTCTTCGAAATGGAAAACCATGTGACATTATTTCATTAAGGAATTCTTCTAAACCTAATTTTTCTTTATATCTTGGTCAAGGGTTCAAATTTACTTGTCTCTTTGATGAGATTTAGCTTTGTAAGATTCACTGAAGATGCCAATTACGATTCTAACGGAACGCCTGGGAACATACCAACTCCACGATGAATTTTCTTGACTTGTTAGCTTGAATTTTGCTGTGAGGATGTTACCTTGCTCTGATGATGTCTGTCATATGACGGACGAAAGCTTAGCACCTTTTCGCCGGAATCGAAGAAGATTGCCTCGGAAACAGCGTCAGCATGAATCTTCCAGTAAAGCCATTCAACCGTTGGACTTCTGGTGGAACCGACCTTCGAATCTCTTCACGCAACACTTCCACTCGAAATGGAAGTAA